TCACCTACACATGCTTCTCTGTGGTTTGGGAAGTCCCCAGTTATTGGCTGTCGGCTGCACGGAGTTGCATGCACAAGCCCTGGATGGAGATCCCCTGGGGTGAAATGAAGTGAGCACAATGTGAACACTGTGTGACGTTGGAAGGGCATTGGAACTGCTGACCTTCACGTCTCTCCATCTCTGCCACTTAGCAATCGGGATCTCCTGTTGAAAAGAGCACAGGAGCTGGGGTGGGGGATGGGGTGTGGCTGTGAGTACGAGTTTGAGGTCTGCCATTAACTGAAGGAAACGCTGCATAAATAAGAGCTAGGAGCCCTGGAGTCAGGCTGCCCGGGTGTGTGACCTACAGCAAGTTGCTGTATTTCTTCAAACACCAGTTCCTTGGTCTGTAATGTGGAGATAATTAGGGTACTTGCCTTATCAGGTTGATGAGAGAAACTATGTAAAGTGTTTAGCATGATGTCTAGCACATAGTAAACATTCATGCAGGTAAGCTGGTATTATTTGACGAGTGTAAAAAAGATTTAAACTCTCAGCACTTGATTATTCAGCGGGAATAACTATAGAGGCCGCAGTACAGGTCACAGGGTAAAATGGGATGAATAAATGAATGAATACAAAAGCGTTTTCAAAGCAAATGTAAATTTTTGTTACTTATATCGAAATTAACAAATGTTCTCCAATCTTTACTGACAGGATGTGGGTAAAACATGACATTTTGTTGTAATGACTGTCAGTTATTTCAACAGACTTTAGCACAGGTAGTTGGTGTAACGTGTGTCAGTTCAAGCTTCAATCTGGGGACTTAACCAGGAGTATCCTAATCAAGTGGCATGAATGAAGGGTGTGACCCGAGGGGTTGTGAGCATCCTTTCTGTTCTCCCTCCAGGGCAGCCACCACTTGCCCTGGTGCTTCCGCCCTCCACATCTCGGTCAAACCAGGCTCTGCTAATTGGCATACTGAATGCCAGAAGTGGCGTTTTCAAAGTGAAAATAATAGTCTATCAATCAATTACCATGAGAAATGTGACAAGGGACATTGGTGCCGGTAAGACTGAAGGTATGTAAGATAGGCAGGGTGAAGGACTCCCATCCCTCTCCCAGCTCTCGGTCTCGTCCCGCCTTGTGTGCATAGGTGTAAGAACCAGCAAGCCTTCAGGCTGAGCTTCTGGGGAGCACGCAGCAGGTCCTGCCCTGTGGGAGGCTGCCATTGCTGATGCTGTCTAAGGGCTAACCAAAGCCGGCCTCTGTGGTGGTCAGAGCCCCCAACGGGACAGAGAACCCAGACTTTCCGTTGGGCTTACGCAGCAGGTGTGCACACCACAGTGGTGTGCAGATTTGCTAAATAGAATCTGTTCAATAAATGTCTGTGGCAGCATTTAGTCTTGGATTTGGCACTTTATTTAAAATCTGGAGGGGTGTTGTAGGAAAGTAGGTAACTTTTGCCCATCTCCATTTGGGTGTCTACCATCAGCTATTAGAAAGAAACTAAATGGGCATGACACAAACTGTTTTTGACAGTTTTTGTGACTTGTCCTTTCAGGGACTAACAAGCATGTTTATTCTTCTGCTAGTTACATTTCTCCCGTCTAAGGCTAGGTGTTAAGTAATGCCTTATGCCTTGGTACCCACAGGCACGCTTTGCACAAGTGCCATGTCACAGCTCTCTCCTATCACTTGGGGAATCCGGGTTTAATAGCACTTTCAGGCGGGCTTTGATGCTGTAGGTCCTGAGCTCAGTCCCGGGCTCCATTACCTAGGGCAAGCTGCCTAACCTCTCTGGGCCTCAGGCTTCTTTTCTTTTGTTTTTATAAGATGCTAGCTATCTTTAGTATGTCCATCTGTATCACTCTGCTTGATACAAGGACTTTGTGAACTAGTCAGGGCAGTAACACATGTTTATATTCCTATTTCCAATTTATGGGAAAAGTGAAATTCAGAGAATATAAGTGACTTGCATATATTAGTAAAAGGTGGACCTAGGACATGAATTCAAATCTTCCAACTCAAAAACATGGTTTTGCACCCAAATTAGAGATAGAAGTATAAAAGGAAGCATGCTTCAGACATCCACATATTAATACTCTGAAGAACATCCTGTTCATTTGAGGTCAGCCCCATGTGGGGAAGAGAATATCATCGACTTCCACGAACCTAGATCGCTCAGTCATGCATTGAGGTGTGCTCAGCTGGGCTTCCTAATAGAACAGAGCACTTAGCTATCTGACTGAGATGAGACATGCCTTTTCTGACCAGCTTGGTTTGGTATGATTCCCCATTTTCTTCTGAACTTTTGATTATCTGTGCCATTTATTTGGATCTGACAGAGAAGACTCCACAGCAGGAGTGGTTTTACTGCATATGTCTCGTCACTCCAACCAGAGGGAGTGGGCCATACTGATCTCAGTGTCGCCAGGGTGCCACACGAGCCACCAGGTGCAGGGGGGTGAACTCCAGCATCTGAGTCTGAGCGCCACTTCCACCACACTGTCCTTACCTTGTTGTGTCTGTTTCTCATTTGTGAGCAGCTCCCTGCACAGTGCCTGTGGAGCCCATGGAGGGGGTTTGTGGGGGTGACAGTGCAGGGAGTACCTCCGGTGGGGGCTGCTGCCATTACCGTTACTGCCAGAAATAATAATGCTCAGTGAACAGCTGTGAATGACCATGCTTTCCTCATGTTTGATGGGTCTGCAGGGATTTATTCCTGCTTTTCATTTTCCTTTTTCAAGGGATTCCCCCTGTTAAAAAGAGCCATATTTAAGGAGGGAAGAGTCCAAGGAACTGATACAAGTAAGAGAGGAGATCTTTGAGGGTCGTGGTTAATAATTTCTGGCACTTTGACTAAAGGATACTTACTCCATGCCATTGAATGGTTCTAGCCAAAGGCTAGACAAATGGCCTCAAGCCCACAAGCATCCCAGTGGGGAAGTATTTTCCTCCAATGGGCCTCATTCAAAGGGTCCACCTAGAATGAAATTTCTGTTTCTGCTGTCCAGGTGGGGCTGAAACTGGAGATTGCTTAGCCTTGAAATTGCCAGCTTTAGCCACTGTTTCACTTTTGAGTAACAATGATGGATCATTAGAGGCCAGAGATAGCAGACGTGGATGGGGTTTTGTGATCCTCTAGTTTAGACCCGGCACTAGCATGTTTATGCAACTGTTCTCTATGCTGTTCCCTTCTGTCCAGAGGCCTGAATGAATAAAGGCATGACATTTGAGAAGAATGATGCCAGTGGCAGATATGAGGGATTCTGTCTTAAAACCAAAGGCCTTGCTGTTTGGCATTCAGGATCCCATGACTGGTGCCAAGGTAGTGCTGGGCCCGATGCTGTTCCCTGCATGTGCCCGAGGTAGCCCAGTGTTCCTCTAGAGTCTTCTAACAGGAAGAGCTCCTTACGTGGCTCTCATCTTCCCAGAGCTTCCCACCAGCCCTGCACATGAAATGCTTAGTGAGTAGCCACGTGTTGAGGCTGGGACTTCATCTTTCAACAAAACAAGTGTCTAAATCATTCTGCTTTGGTGGGAGATGTTTTTTCAACTGTATCAAGTCAGCCTATAAGTGATACATACTTTGCAAGCTTAGAAGTTGTAAATTGTTGTTTCATAGAATGAGTCCAAGCTAAACAATGAAGGTGTTTAAAAGAGTTGGTAAGAGTTGGGGTTATAGGAAAAAATGGAGTGACCATCGGCTTTGCAGTAGCGTTTTTATAAATTTGGCTGGACATTGGAATCTCTGGGAGAGCTTTAAAAAATATAGATTGTGGTAGAGTGCAAAAAATGGCTGCACTCTTCCTCCCCGCTCCCAGCCCTTTGGCAATGTGATTGTGCAGCTCTTCCCACCTAGCGGGGGAGTCTCTGCACTCCTCATCTTGTGAAGATGGGCTGGACCTGTGGGGTTTTTTTTGTCAGTGGGATACAGCAGAAGCGATTAAACCAGTTCCATGCCTAGGCCTCCAGGGTTGTCCAAATAAGGCTGCCCTAGACTGGCTGGTCTCCAGCTACCTGGGGTGCTGACTGCAGACGCATGCGTGCGCCCAGCCAGGACCAGAAGAACCACCTGGTTGAGACCAGGCCAAACTGACAACAAACAGAATTGTGAGCTATTTTAACCTGGTTGTTTCTTTTAAGTCACTGTGTTTGAGAGCGGCTTGTGATACAGCAAACACTAACTGATTCATAAATGTCTGATGTCCACCCCTGTCAAATCTGATTGGTCTGGGATAGACCTAAGTATCAGAAGATTTTAAAAGCTCTCTGGGCGATTTTAATGTATATCCAGAATTGAAAACCACTGGTCTAGATAAAGGCACTTAGCATTCCATGGGCTGCTCTAGGTGGGTCTTTCACTTAGACCAAAGGTTTACCTAATGGAACTTCTCTGAAGCTTGGGGATATTTAGGTTTAAAATGAATGAAAGAACTCTCTAGCCCATTACCTTATGAAAAATAATAAGCCAAGATATGAATTACACTAAAATATAAACATCTTCAAACATTTTTGACAAAAGATTGAAAGGACTTTAGATACAACCTGTCCTAACCTCAATCTTCTTGGAGAAAATGAAGCCCAGAGCCCAGAGTCTTGCTCAAAGCCATCTAATTTTCAGTAGAGCCTAGGTTCTGTATCAGGTTGCCTGGCTCTAAATTAATTTTTCTCGATTCTTCTGTATGGTGACAATAATGTGATCCTTTGTTTGACATCCCACATGCAACCTCATATGGAATCTGTACAAGGATTAAGGTTAAGATAGGTTATCTCTAAAGTTTAAATGGGCTAAGAATAAGGCAGTCTTTACAGGGGCATCCCTGTTGTGATTGGTAATACTTGGATGACAAATTTATTGATTAAAAACATGGCTTGCATCCGGTCAGAGGTAAGTGTTGTAGTCTTACTAAGCAGAGCCACTTTACTGTTCTTTGTGAAACCACAATGAGATGCAATAGGGGAAAGATGTTTAACCCTTTCCTTGAAAAGAGAAAGAAGCCAGCTGAGCCACGGCAATGAATGAAAGCAGTTTATTTGACATTAATTGCAGAATTTACAGCACTACCATTTAATGATAGGAATAAAAATAGAATCCAGTGTAAGCAATGTTGCAGACAAAACATCAGGGCAGCAAATGAGCAAAATTGATAATGCAAATAACATTCAAAGAAATCTTCCAAAGGACTGGGAGCTTATCGAGGGTTGAGCAGCCCTTGGTAATGGTCTGTGATCCTCATCCCTGCCAGGATTTCAGGGGAGCCACTGAAAATAGACCCTGTTGACTATCCCTTGAAAATCTTTCAGCACAGTCTGACTTAACATGTATGAGATGGTGCAAAATCTGGGTTATAATATGCTTTGGAAATATTGCTCAGGGTAAAAGGAAAAGGAGAATGTAGATTAACTAGTGTGTGGGTCTTTTCAAAACAGAAGGGAATGGAAATTTTAGGGGTGTGTTTTCCTGATTTTAAATATGAGAGTGATGTCAAAGGGATTGACTAAAAATAAAAGTTTTAAGTTTTCCCCTATGTTTTCTTGGAGATAAGAGCTATAAAAGCAAGGAAATAGAACAAGAGGTGTGTGTGTGACTCTTTGATCTCTTGTCATCTTGGAATCTTGACAGAGGCTTATGAAAGGTAGCTGGATTTCTATCAAAGGGCTGGTTTTCTAGAAGAGCTGACCCAGAAGCATGTGGCAGAGCATGGCTCTGAGAAGGAGGTTGTTTACTTTATAGCTATTTCCCCATCACTTAATGATTCTCTTCTGTCCATTTTAAAACTTTAAATAGAGCTGGGGCAGATTCTTCTCTCTTTCTCTCTCTCTTCCTCCCTTCCCTCATTTTAGTCAACTTTAAAACCATAAAGCAACCAATAGATTGGAAGAAAGGATTCAAGCCCAACAGGCCAGCATGTGAAAATACAAGGTGCTTTTAATACCCAAAGTAAACATGTCTGAGGTCAGGGTCTAAAGTGAGAAGGTAACCAGGACTGACTCGATTCTGGAAAGAAAAAAAAAAAAAGAAAGAAAAGATACTGGAACTTGTTCTCACTCACTTTGGAATTGGGGGGAGGGTAGTTTCTGTAGCAAGAGCTTATTGACCAAGAAAGACTCTATAGTACCTGTACTAATAAAATGTTAATTTGGGTAGAAATATTAGAACAGGAAGCATGAAAAAAATTGGCCAGGCTCTTTCTCTGCAGTCCAGGAAAACAGCTTCTTGGAGAAAAGCAAGAAAAAGAAGAGAACAAATTGATATGTTGGTCAGTCTCTAATGATCTTTGCCCATGAAGTTCTTTGGTATCTTAGACAGTGGGGAGAAGAGAGAAGAGAGTGAACCGCTATAGGACTGAGGTAGAAAAAAGAAGACTTGGTGACTGGAGATACACATGAAAAAATAAACCAGTGCTAAGATTATCTTGGTCCCTGCTTGTCAAGTTAGATGTTCTTTTATCATTCTGTCAGTGTAAAGGGTATCGTCTTGTCTCAGAAATTCCAATTTGCCAGGTGTTTTATGACCTGTCATGGTAAGAAGTTTGCAGATACCATTTAGACTTATGTAACACCAAACAATACAGAAGAAAGGAAATAGTATTATAACCTCAAGGAAGTATCTGTTAATGGTATGACTACCCATCGAATAGGCTTTGAATTTTCAGCCTTTCTTCCAGGTAGCAGGTTCCCTGTTATACTCTGAAAAACTTTCCTAGACAGTAAACTGACTCTTAGCTAAATGTCAAATTGAGTCAAAGAAAGGGAGACAGGGAACAACCCCAAGTTCTGTGATTTCTGAATAGAACTTTTCAAACAGAGGTAGAGTAGGCACTGTGGGCCCTGATCTTGGGTGGCTTGACAGCTGTCCTCCAAGAAAGATCGATAGCACGGGCAGTGTGCAGGGTCTCCGGCAGGAGGAGCGAGGCACAGAGAGGGCGTGGGGTCTCCATTTCCCTAGTGTATTTTTTCCAAATCAAAGAACTGGGAGTAAGTGAAACAAAAATTATAAACAAAGTAACAGAAAAAGCCATCCATACCTTTGTTTTCCAAATAGTCACCTGCAACAGTTACAAATAAAATAGCTAAACTGGAATGCAGAGGAAGAGTTAGGTAAGGGGGATTCTGATCTGAAGGAGCCCCCCTGGTCTGTGGGGACCTGGACCCTTTGCAGTTGTCAAGGTGGAGGAAGTCACCTCCAGTGACGGCACAGGTAAAGCCAGTCAGAAGGGCCACCCAGAGCCTTGGCTGGGGGAGCCCAGCCTGGGGAAAGGTGAGTGCCTAGCGGACCACAGAAAATTCGGGATTGCTATTTTATCTTCCTTGTCTTTCCTGTAAGAATTGGGGTCTGCCTTCATGCTGGCATGTGCTCAAGGCCAGTGAATCTCAGAGAAACATCGGGGTCAAGAGAGAGTGAGGTCAGAAAGTTTGGGCCCAGCTCTCTTTAAAGCTGTCATGGAGGTCTTTTCCTAGCGCCGACTTCTACCTTCCAGCCCAGGACCTTCAGTTCCCCAGAACAGCCCCGCATTCCCCCAAGAGATCAGGAGTGAAGTCTGGGCCACGCTGAGGTAGTTCCATAGTCCTGGGTCTCCAAGGAAAAGGACATCCACCGGCACAAAGCATTGAGTCAAAACCCTTTAATAACAAAATGACATTTAGGATGTAGCTACTTTCGTTGTTTGGAAAACTCAGCTCATACTTGATTCGACATATCACTTTCCACAAAATTAAAAAAAAAGTGAAAGGACATAAAATGGCATAACAAAATACACCTCCAGTTTCATAAGACAAGTCTTGGCAAACCCTAGTGAGCCAGACCCATGCATGGCTTGTAATAAAAAGGGCTGGGCACACTCATGTCTCAGACACTCCTGTTTACTTTGGACCGAAAATGCACTTGAACTCAGTAGATACTCTAATATGTGCATCAGGAGGAATAGTTTGTGGATTTGTGAATGTGAGGAGAACTTTACCAAAACAAATATTGATTTGGTTTATTGCGGAAGAACATATAAAGTTTTGTGGAAGATTAAACACTATTACAATCATTAACTGTCTTACAAAAGCTGACTTAAAATTCTTGTATCCATTCCCGTCTTTGGCAGACTAATTAGGGGAAAAATTAAAAAGACTATATATTACAAAGCTTTCATTATCACCATCTGCTTTATAAGGCCAAATAAAAATATGTTTCTTGGTATTCTTAATGAAAGCACATTCCCAATTGTTCTATTGTTAGTGATTTCCAGTATTTTGCATAGCAGACTGTGGCTTTCCTGTCACTGTTTACTACACCCTCCTAGGCAAAATAAAGTGTGTTTGGCAGTTGATTTGGCTTTATGTCAAGCATACTGGTTTGGGAAATAGGTTATGAAACTTGAGAATGGGTATCTGAACACAGATGTAAGTAAGAACAAGTTTACTCATCCACTGCAACTGAAAAATACTTTTTGAGATCTAGAGGCCTCAGATGATTGGGGAGTTTAAACCGAGACGGTTTTCCTAAGCTGGGTTTCAAAACTTCTTTTACCCCCTTTCGAATAGATGTAACGTTCTTGGGCGCGAAAGTGTAAGTTAGAGTCAGGTCTGACTTTAGTGGGGAAGAGCTGGGATGTGGCTGCCCAGGTGATGTTGGAGGCACGGCTGTGCATTGTTGCCTGAATCACTGGGACAGTTGGTAGAGCTGTCCATGAGAAAGGGCCAATAAGTCAGAGAATAATTGTTGCTACTGATGCCATTTGGGTTTCTACTGGGAGTTGACCTGGCAACAAAATATTAGAAGGACTCAAACACAGTCAAAGCGGCTGCTCCCAAGCAGGGATCCAGGAGAGGCTGGATCCAGGGCTGAATTCGCATCTCCACCTACACGGCCAGTTAGGACTGGGGTCACGAACATAAAGCCGGAATGATTCCTTCTTTGTGGAAATCAAAAATGCAGAGTTGAGCTGTGTTTCAGTGCTTGTTTCCAAAGCCCTCTTACATATAGGGATACAGCAATGAGGATCCCAACTTGTGGAATGCACGCTGCCTAACTCAAACTGGGAATGACCTTTTTTTTCATAGGATTTGAACTCGATTCAGTCTGACTCATTTTGAAATCCCAACAGATGTAAAGGTATTTTCGAGGCGAGACATCTCCCAATAAAACCAATGTGACCACTGTCTGAGGCTGAACTGTGTACATCTTCACAGTTTAATGTATACACAACTGTTCACAACTGCTAACAAACGGTCGGCACCCATGCATAAATAAAATCCACTGAACCAAAGGGGAAGATCTAGTTCAAAATGAAAAATGCTGCTATTAAGACCACAATGCATCACACTGCTAAATTTTTAGCCTCATGCATAAAATTATAGCACTGATCGGCAGCTGCTAATTATAATACTACACTGTTAACACAGAACAATTCATTGTTCAGACCAAGTAGCACAAATGTAGAAAATAATTTTCTTTTCAACAGAGCAAATGAACACAGATTGTTTCTTCAGCAAAATATGAAACTGTAAACTTTGGGCTCATTCTGCAACTTTCCCCAATCCAGAATAAATAAAATCCTAAGGGGAAAAAAAAAGGAACATACATTTTTTTTTAAGCGCACCTTTTCTTCTATTACAAAAGCACAACCTAAAACGTATAAAGCTTTTTTTTTCTTTTTTTCTTTTTTTAAATCACAGTTACCAAAAGAAACAGTGAATAATTTATTACATACGCTATAATAACATTACTCTAAACACTATTATCTATGAGGTATATCTGAGAAAATTCGGTAAGGAATTGCGCGGTCTGCATTGCCAACATGCCCAGGTTCGTATTAAAGCTTTGGAACCATGAAGAACTAGAAAAGGGGGGAGAACAGGGGAGACAGAAGGAGACATAGAGAAAGAACCTTTGGTATTAGTACAAATCTTGTTCTTTGCAGGGTTGCATCGCAAAGCACCACAGTACAATAAGCCCACCAATTTATCATATGGAGGCCCAGTTGAAGCTGAGGTATTCACAGGAAGGATTAAAAAAAGCACAGAGAGGTCCAGACTGGCTAAATCATTGCTTTGGTTCAAGCAAGGCACTCGTCCCACGGTTATGTCACACTTTGCAAGTGAAGCATGAGGCTGGGTGGGGGGATTGCAGAGGAGGGGTCTGCCAATCAGGGATGCTTTCTGTGTTCAGGCTGCCATTGCTCCCTCTAGCTCCCTTTTGCTTGGTGGTAAGAAGGCAGGAGAAGGTGAAGTTTGCTTCAAGGGGAGCACTCTGCTGATCAATGATTTGAGAATTATGTTTCCAATAGGAATTTGGGAAGAAAACCAAAGCAATTTGCTGTTTGGAAGGAAGGCCTTACACGTTTGCCTTGTGTATAGCGGGAAGATGGAGCCTTGGGTGTGTGAGGACGGGAGAGAACTTTCACATATTTCAGTATGGTGCTTGGAAACTACAGAAAGGGGATGCGTGAGTGTTCCCTGAAATCTGTTAATGTCTTCTTAATTCCTCTACTAGTTACACTCTGTCTGTGGATGCATGGGATGGATGAGTTAATCAGTCTTTTCCCTTCTTAGTTTCTTTGTCTAAGTGGTCTCCTAAAAAGCTCAAAGATAATTATATTATGGGAAGTTAAAAATACTAATACTAACAAAGAGCTAGACAGGCTAGAGATGGATCTTCACATATGTCTTAAACCCATTTGGTCAAAGCTGAGAATGATTCATTGGAGAGCAGACAAATCACTGATGAATCGATCTTAATAGCGATTTAATCATTTAATGGAATTAAAAGAAACTTAAAGAAGACCAATTAATTTCATGAGTACAAAGGGAATAGAGAAGCAACGTTAAGTGATCATTGCTTAAACTGGAATTATCTATTCCTCTGAAATTTTGGGGTCATCTTTTGTGTTTACAGTGATGCATTATACTTTAGCAACTAATGATGTAAGCCTTAAACTTCTCTCATAAATAGAGTAGATCTAGAAATGAAATATAAACACCTACAAGTTAACAGAAAAATGGAAAAAGCTGAGCAGCTTAAAAAATAAAAGGGAATCAAATTCCCTTTCTCTGATAAGTGCTGACCAAAAAATATCCATAATTAAACTCAACAAACCAAGAATGAACTTTCTCTCCTCGCTGAGTTAAAAGCTTATATATACAAGACTATGTAATGGGAAGCTTTAACAGTGGTCACCCTGGATCAATGTGTACTTCAGGGCAAAAACTCTTCTACGAGCCCTAATATTTCGAGGCTGGTCACCTTTACCAGCAACTGATCATATGTGACTTTATGCTGAGGTTCTAACTAGACAGGCATGGAAATCTCTGTGACTATTTTTTTTATATAGAGTTAAAGTCCTAAGTAATAAGCCCCAGGCCCTACTCATTGCTAAAGGATTGCCACCTTCTTCTTCTCCATCTCATGCAGAGTTGGCACTGGCCAGTGGGTACAGCCCTGGAGCAGAAAGCAGGTGGAGGCTGATGTGGGCTTTGCCTCTAGAGGGTTATTTGATTGGGGTAACTATTTCACTCCTCCAGGCCCCCGGGGGTTGGACTAAATGATTTGTAAGGTCCCTTCCAGCTCTACTATTTAGTGGTTAGAGTTTCTACGGTCCAGTAGCTGGAAATCTTCACTGTGATAGCTCCGAAGTAGGAAAGGAGGTTGTGGCTAGGACCAAAGGCCACTTCCAACCAGTCTTCCTCACCAATTTGGAATTGGAATTTAAGGAATCCAATTACAGCAGCATTTGAACTTGCATCCTGAACATGTGGAGGGGACAGCAAACAAATGAGAGAAACACAGAAAATATCCCTTTCCAAACTAGCAGCCGCTGTCGCATAGATAATTATTTCTTTGGGGTATCTGAGCTGTGGCTGTACATACCATATGCCAGAGAGAATAGTTCAAATTATAAAAGAGCAGAAGCAAGATGCAGACCGCGCACAGAGAAAGAAATCTTTGGTATCTTTGGTGTCATCAACACGATGAAAATTACAAATGGAAAAAGTCAGTGAGGTAGCCTTCTTTGGTTCTCACTAGAAATAGAAAGTTTTTCCTTTTTTTTTTTTTTCTTTTTTCTGCTTTTTTTTTTTTTTCCTTTTCTGTTTTGTTTTACATACGCACAGAGTTCATTCTTGGAAGCAGCTAGTGTAAGGGTTTCTCTCTTTTTGCTGTTATGATTTTTTTTTAAATTAATGTTTCCAGTTTCTGTATAGAAGCCCCGAAATCCAGGCTGGTGAAGCAGGGTCTCGGCTTATGTTTTCTGAATATACAGGTTCAGGTTGAATAGTCATTGCTTGTCCACCAACTTTGCTCTGTTGTTCTGACAGCAAATAAACTGCAGTGCTCTCTGTTGTGTTAAATAAAAACCAGAAACTATACAGTGCACCTTTCACAGATGCTGAATAAGTTAAATAAATAAGTTACAATATGGAGGCTCTGAGGGCCCCAGTAATTAAAAGGTGAAGTTCACCTGGTGCCAGGTGGGGCTGTGAACTTAAATTAAATAATTTAATAATTGTTATTTAAACTATCTTCAAAGTTAATTTAAGAAGGAAAAATACCTTGATTTTTTTTTTCTGTAACCTGTATTTTTTCCCTGTCTGTAACAGAATTTCATTGCTTTATAAAGCAAACTAAACTTCAAAAGAATTCTAAAAGGGGTTTTGCATCTATGATGCATCATGGGTCTAGATTTTGATAAATAAGCACAGGAGTAAAATCAAACTAAGGGAGGATGATTAAATAATTACCCAAATCCTATACATTTGTGTGCTAGAAGCTAATTTAAAGAAATTAATTACATTAATGGTACTCTGCTTGCTGGGTCATAACCCAACATGACAAGAAAAAAATATGTTTCTTTTGACTGTCTTCATTTTTTGATGATCAAAATGTGTAGCCTCTTTTGATAGTCTAAAATAAAGCAGGAAATTATAACCTCCAATACTTTCTCACATTCATAAAGACTATTTAGATGTGACAAGCATGAAACCACCCCCTCCCCTATAGCTAGCACAGCCCCCACAATACCACGTCACCATTGTCTCAACCCTGGAAACCAGAGCCCACTTTTTCCCTATTAGTTTGCACTTTCCTTTGCTATTTTTCCCCCCTTTTTGTTTTTTTTCTTTTTTGTCCCTTTTCAGGTCTTTGGATTTAGCTTTAGTTATGAGAGATCCAGAATAAAGCTATTCAACCGAAATCATCAAGCATGTGTCATTCTTATACAGATGATTAAATAATATCCAAGGTTTCTTGAAAGTTGAGTTTATCTTGGATGTGCCCAAAGGAAAGTAATCCCAAGTGTACACAACGAAGATGCTGAGACACTTTTTTCCCCCTGCACTTTAGTTTTCAATGTTACAATAAATAATGAAAACGATGTACATCGTAGAAGTACCACATACATGTTAAATGATAATTTAAAATGTATTTATTGTAATAGATGACAGTATATATGGAGATGTCTGTGCACACGTGTCTGTGCACAGTCTAGACACCCATAGGTAATGTGTGTTGCTATAAGGACATCTATGAGAATACATGTTGAAAGATGTATCTAAATTTGTATACATCCAAACTGACAGACTGTATAAGCTTTAGGCAAACTTAGCTGCCAAAGTTTATGTTAAGTGAAGTGCCTGCTCCTAAAGATGGAACAGATTGGAAGACTTTGTGGAATGAACAAACCTTTAGCAATGTGTTTTTTTCCTACACATATTTTCTCCACTGTATTAGCTGGTCAGTTTCAGTGAACCAAACTCAAAAACCTATAAGGAAAGCTTGGGCTCTAGCTTTAACTCGCCTTAGAGTCACTGTGGTATTTGAGAACAATGAACATTTCTAGTCCCTGTGGGATTCATGTCAGCCTCAATAATAAGCTTTGTGTCTACCTTTATGAGGCTCTATATGATTTTAATAATAAATTTTGTATTTATAATGCATTCTGAGATTTTCTCAAATTGCATGCCCCACCCCACCCTTGGAAAGAAACAAATCATGGGTAGAAAATAGGCATTGGGGTGTCCCTATTTAAAGCCCATGTCATTAAATTATAAGACATACAACAAATGGGGACCCCTTCTCCTCTACTAAGGATTTTGTGGCCTTATTTGAAAACTAGAATCTTCTGTGGTTTTTTAGGTGACTTGGTCTTAGCTAAATGCACAAAATTAGTAGACTATCCAGTCTTCCAGATAAATGTCAGGAAGGTATTACCCCTTCTTTTTCTACCTTCTTCCCACTCACCCTTCCTGGTGAGGCTAACGAGTCTGAATCACAGCATTGGCATCAACTGCAAAAAGCTCCAATCACTTAGAGACCATGATAGTTACCTTCCTGTACTTGTGTCTAGGCCTTGAGGTCAAACTTGACCACATATATTCTTTTCTTCTTTAAATATAGTCCATTATTCTTCAGCAACATTAGAATCTAGCCTGTTGTTTTATGTTTTTTTCTTTTTAAATTCCTACTATAAAACCTCCTGAAAGAGGTAACCACAAATCTTGTCAAAAGTAGGACAGTACCACCTGTACCCAGGTGGTAGTGATAGTAAAAAAAAAAAAAAAAATCTCTTCAGCTTTAATTTATTGGCACTAATAGGTGTAATAGGTGGGCATCCAGCATAGTGTAAGATAAAATGGTTGATCATCTAAAAGATATTTATATTTGGCATTGAGATACATTGTATGAGTTACAAAAATGTGTAGGGGTATATGTGTGTGTGTGTATCAGATGTACCTTCCTCAATGTGATTTTATTTGAGCTAGAAATGAAAATAACCTTTAATTTTCTAAGCCCACCATTGCCAAGAGCCTGTGGGAAAAGGGTTTCTACAATGATGATGATCTGATCTCTCTAGAGAAAGTGTCACATTGGGTCCTTCATGGCTCATTCTTGCCTGTACTTTTAAGTGCTACAAACTGCACACTGTTTTACATTTTGGAAAAGCCTTTCAATGTCGGGGTTGAGTTTTTATTGTTGTTGCTGTTTTCCTTTAAAAATGAAATATATTGGCTCTTCTTAAAAATTTCCTAGAATGAAAAAATTATATCCCCTTTGCCAAAATCACATTGAAAACAAAAGCAAAGCAAACTTATTTACCTAAAGGGTTAACGAAAAGTGTGTTTCCATTCAGTAGCTTTTGGATTTCTTTCCTCAAGAATCTGAATTTTGGTTCAGAACTCTCTCTTCACATAGTCCCCTTCATTGCTGATGGCTGATGTGTGCCTAGAATTTTCTTGGGTTGAGGAAATGGATCTTAAACTATAACCAAGTCCAAATGGTTCTTTTCTCTGAAATTATTAACTTAAAATAAATTTTGAAAAATCCTGAGGAAACTCCCTGGGTCAAATTCTATTACCTTTCCATTTTCAGGGGTTTTTTTTCATTCAGATTTTTAACAAACTGAAATCCCATAGGGCTTAAAATTGAGACATAAACATAGAGATGCACATATATTTATATATGCACACAAATAATTTTTTAAAAGTAAGCACTTCTGTCTGGTGTAACATAATCTGGTATAAGACATTTATCAAAAGTCCTTGGAGGGAAGTTCTTGCCCTTCTTACGTTATGACATCGTCCTCAGGTCACCAAGAACACTGAGGGTGTACGTGACTTATTCCTGGTTTGATCAGTGCTGAAATCTCAGACCACAAAGACAGCCTCTTTTGGTTTAGACATCTTCCAAGGGTGCCAGAGACCCAAATGCTGAGATTGGTATGCCAAACCATCACTAACCCAACCATGCAGGCTTGGGTCTTTGGTCCAATTTCGAGAACAATCATTTCCATTGGTCACAAGTCACAAGGATTCATTTAGAAATACCCAAGTTTAAATTCACTTTTATCAATCCATATGGAGTGAACCCCTGCTGAAATATGCTCTTTTCTTGGTCATTTGACAAAGGAGACATAGAGTAAAACACAAAGGGACACAGGGAAAGTCAGGGAACATCCCCAGGCAGGATGAACTACAAAAGCCACAGAGAGTCACACTCTGTCACAGCCCCCTGACTGCTGCCTCTGCGAGGGGAGACCCACATGGTGGGAGCAAGGGAGTGACACAATGGACACTGGGGATCCCAAGGCCAGGGCTCTGGGATTCACCCCATATGCTTTGTGTTCTCTATCTGGGATTGAGACACCCACCTCCCAGCCCCTGCCCCAGGCCCCCTGCACCAACACCACTGCCTCACTCCACTGCCTCCTGCGGCTGCACACAGGCCTGTCTACATGAATTGGTAATCACCACCTGGAGGAAACCTGATCGGCCATTGCAACAGGAGCTGGACTTCCCCTATGAGAAGCCCATTTGGTGGGTCTACTCATGAACTACTCACTGAGTCTGGAACACCCTGATGAGCCAGGGCAGCTCCTGGAGAACAGATTTCTGGGCCGGCCTCATCTCCATCACTGGGGGGAGTGGACCGCTGAGCCTTCCCAGCAGCCAGAGGATGAGCACCCGACTGGGCCTGGCCCAGTTCTGGGTCACATCTGGTGGATGGACTTCACTAACCACCTTGATCATGATTGAGGCGTAGAATAGAGATGACGCCAAATACAAATAACTCATTTGCCCCATGGATCCACTTAACAACAGGTTAAATGTTGAAGTGCTTGACTTTCAACCTTTCCCAGGAATTTTCACAGAAATCTGAATATCTCAAATCATCCACAGTGGCAAATGAACTCTGGGCTGGCATGAGAAATGAGCACACTTTTGAACTGAATACTTAATGAAGCACTTGACAGAAACAAGACATGAATTTGGGCAGCAGTAATTTTGGGTGATCACCAGTGTCAAGTTGTATCTATATACGTATTCATATATATATATATATATATATATATCTTTCTTTAGAAATGCAACTTTACAGCTGATTTTTAAAAAGCGAATAGAAAAGTAGAAACTGGCAATTATTTTTACATGTTTCCCCCACCCCCAGATGAAGCCATTAGTATTTAGCAATCACATGAAGACGAGGCTGTCAATCCCTCTATAAACTCTTTGGTTCTGTGGCTCTGGAGAGGATGCGTCAGCAGACCCCCAGCCCTGACCCTCATTCCCCTCCCCTCCCCTGATGATGAGACTGAACACAGAAGGGACCAAGTCTAAGGGATAAAAAAAGGACATTCACGTGACAATATAATTCACTACACTCTGAGGAGCAGAGAGGAGAGAATCTTTCAGTATCCCAACATCTTAAATTTGCAGCCCATGGAACCTTTGGAGAGATTCCATGTTGGGGTAGAAAGCCATAAAACAAAATTAAAGGGAAACAGTAAAATCACATAAATGACCCTTTCCTTTTTGTTGCTCAGAAACTAAATTGATTACCTTTACAAAGATCAATGGCGCTATTAGTATTTTAGCCAGACAAGAGGAGATAATGAACTGAAACACAAGATGTGAGAAATCCTCATCTTTGGTATTGTAGCTGTTGAGGTTTCTGTTGCTCTGTTCCGTGTTCTTTTGAAAAAACTGCATAGGCACAAATTAAAGACAATCTTCAACTTTAAGATTACCGCTTGAGTTGTCAAATGAAGCAGCAGCCACTGTGGCTTTTCCTTATTTCTATTCTTGTCTCAACCCTTTCTTTAAAATCTGCTTCCAAAAAATGTCCCAAGAGGTCTGAACACAGTATGTCTCGCTGTTTTTTGGGTTTTTGTTTTTTTCTGGCGTGCTTCCTTCTTGGTGGTGGTGATTTTCATTGATTTACGTATTTATTTATTCATTTTAATGGAACAGTTTTGTTTGTTGCAGAAGTAGGTGCAGAAAAAGTTTCTTTGGTTTCGATTAAGTAATTCATAAAAAAGTCAGTCTCAAGTGTCTGTAAAGAATCATTGCAGCGTTTGGCTTGCTTTGAACACCTCCACGGTGCCCACCTGGGGCCATTCACTGGTAAATATGCACATCGTGACCTTCGCAATCTCCCAGAGTTCTGTGAGCGCACTTCCACTTGCTGTGGGAAGGTGATAGCCAGGAACCAGAGCTGGCGTGGCAAAGCCACTCCCTGGGTGGCTTGGCTAATGTCCTTGGCATAGCTGGTCTGCTCAGCCCAATGGTGAGCCAAATGCAAGAGCTGAAATGCCATTTGGAGTTGCAGAGGTTTTCTGATTTCTAAAAGTAATCACAGTAATTTTAGGCTAGAAAATGGCAAGTAATAAATGTCTTTGGTTTGCAGTATTCTGCTTCTTTGGTGTGCTGTGTTTTCTCCAGATTTATTCAGCTGTTTTGCAAGGATGATTCAACAATGGAAGAGATTTAGGAATAGATGACAGTCATGAGTAACACATATGGTGGTCTGAGTTATTTTTTTCTTGCTAGAAAACACTGAAAAATGTCCCTATCAGTGGCATGGATGAGGAAACAACTGAAATCTGAAAAAGTACAAATGAAATATGTGGCAGTCATAATGCACAATAGGAGGAACCAGGTGACTAATAATCAAGAAGGATACATTAATGATCTAAAAAAATCTAGATCTTTTAAAATGCTGCATTTGCTCCATGTACCGTAACAGTTAAATTGGCCTCCTGAGTGTGCGTCTGCTTTATGTACAAACAGAATTTGTAGCAAACTGCAAAATGTGCTTGAAGCCATATTCCCAATGATTCCCTAATGACTTCACAGTCGGTGTCTTGAAAATCCAGATGCAGTGAATCCAGAACCTTCCTTCTCTGTTTACCTACGTTGTGCTTGATACTTTGAGCTCAAGTGCACTGATTTGATTTTGGTTTTTTTTTGATGGATCCAAGACCACGTGAGATTTTCAGGAGGTAAGGAAAAGAAAACTGTAAACTGGATCAACTTAAAGCTTTCTAAACCATTTGATGAAAAGATGCCTGAGTTGGAAAACCATGTCCTTGGATTTATTTTTTTAACTTCTGTATTTAAAACTTGTGCTCGTAATTATCATTCTGGTGTTTTTTTAATGTAATGCCTGTGAACTTTGGTGTACTGTGGTATGTTGAGGCTAAGCACTTGGAAAGCAAATGAGGTCATTCTTGTTGCTAGATCGTTCTCTTGTTGGAGCCCAAACTCAGAGAGCCTTACACAGACTGAATTCCCACTGTGACTTATGGGAACTCTGACTGCAAGAGACTGACAGGACTCAAAGAGAAACTGTTGACATTTTAAGCAATCCTGAGCTTGGCTGACACCGCACTGAAATGAACTCACTCCAGGAGGGCCCCATTTGGTTTCTGGGATGCTTAGCATGCTCAGAGGACAATGTCCAGTTCAAAGAGGTTAATTTTCAGCTTGCACTTAGACTCCACAGCCATTAAAAACAAAACAAAAAAGAACACCTGGCCTATGATTACAGCTAGAATAGAAGTTTCTTTGCAAAAGAATTGTGCTTTCAAATCACCAGTGAAGGGCCCCAGCTAAGATTCCGGTGTCTTTTTCCTTTGTGTTTTCTTTTGGTGTCTGTTGTCCTCACTTGGAGGTGACTTGTGCCCAACTGAGTCCTTCCATCACGCTTTGGTGCAAGCGCTGGAGGCAGATGAGGAGCCCCCTGTGCTCAGGTCGTCTTGCCACTTCTCGAGGCTGCGGCGCCGGGCGTTCATGAAGAAGTTGCTGACAGTCGTGAGCTCCAGGCCCAGCTGCTGGGAAATGGTGATCTGCATCTCTTTGGATGGGCGTTTGTTCTCCTTGAAGATGGCAAAGAGTGTTCGGCGTTGGAGGTCGGTGAACACCAGGCGGGATTTTTTCTGGGAATTGTTCCTGTCTTTGTTTGGTTCTTGCTCTTTGCGTTTGCACGCTTGAAGGGAAAGAGAAGAAGCAGCATGTCAGTATGAGTGTGAGAACTGGTACCCAAGAAGGTGATCCACTAAAAATATTGACAGTCGTACAAGGGCATGTAAACTGTTAAACTTTATTGTGCAAATTGCCCAGCTGTCAATCACCAGCTTTCCCAGTTCATCTCCTGGTGATGGAAGGCAGCAGTCAGTGGGGAAAGGGAACAAGGAGGCAAGAGAAGGGCTGTTTCACATGGGCTGGTTTTGAACCAACTGCTTTTTGTGTTACCCTCACCCCCAGCATACCCCGGAAAATCTTCATCTCTGAAAGCAGGTGCTGGGGAGGAAGTGATGACTCCCTGTCCCCAGAGGGAGGCCTGGGGAGGCACTTCCTCTCTCCTAGTCATTCTCCAGAATTGTTTACAGCTGAGCTGAAATTACTTGCTGGATTCCAAACTTAAAAGTGTGTAATTTTTCAAAATCAAAGTGTGACTAAAAAAATTGTTAACAGAGTGAAATTAGAAGTGACAGAATGATGGTATCAACCCAACCCAAACCCCCTTCTTCCAGACTTTTGAAAAATTAAGAAAAAAAAAAAAAGTGAGGGAAAGACTATGAAAAAAATTGGTTTAACCAATTCTAATTGGCTACTTTGAAGCGAAGCCAGTATAAGAAGACCAGAGCCGAGGGTGGCAGAGGAAGCCGGAAGTTACAATGCCAGGACCCTGGGGTCCAAGATGTATCAATTAGTATATGCAGAGTCTCTGATTTAGTAGGTATGTGCCCACATGGACTGACATATGCAGCCAGGACATTCATGTATGTGTCCCTACCTGTGCCTTACCCTACAAGATCCTTGAAGGCAGGGATCAGGTCTGTGTAATATTCCCAGCTGGTTCTTTTGGAGCCGTGGACATGAATGAATGTAAGGGGCCCTGACGACAAGTGGTATTTTTGACTCTTGGGGAATTTGTACACTTCACAGATTTGGTATCAGAAAAGTGACTTGTAAGGGTTAAACAGTGCAGTGCATACAAATTAGACATTTAAACATGAGAACACATGTTAAAATTACTGGAAAGAAATCCCGGCTCACCCAGGGGTTTTGCGCAGCCTCAACAGAGCTAATCTGGGAAAGGCAGGGAAGGAGCAGAGGCCTGGCACGGAGCGCTCTTCCCTGAATCACATCCTGCTGGATATTCTGGCCCCAGGAGGAGACTGTCTTTGCACTGGACTGACATTCTCCCAAGGCTAGCAGTTCGGGGTGCTTCCTGGATGTCTTCCCATACTTCCCAAAGCCCCAGTTTGTAAGTTTTGCTCGTGAGTCCTGGATCAGAACATTTCCTACCCGTTCCACTATGTGTGGAGTGGTTGCTTCAGTTTGAGTATTAGGGGAAAATCCTTCAAATTGATAGGTCTTAGGATTTAACCTGCATCAACACAAAGACAAGATACTCGAACTTTCTCCCACTTAACTGGCCACCCTCCCTGGAGGATGCCATCGGCCACAAAGAAATCACTCCTGAAATAAATGAAAAAGCAATGACACTTTGCTTTGCTCAACTCTTTCTTCCTGATTTTTCCTTCTGTTGTTTTTAAAAATAAAAGCAGTATTACCGTTTTGAAAATTGAACCCCCCCCCCCCCCCTATAAAAACGATTTGTTTCCATCTTCAAGCCATTCTCTTGGGAGGTCTGGGCTTTCCCAGAGGAGGTGGTGTCCCCAGCGACCAGGCCCACAGAGAGGCTGTGGTGGTCCCTGGCTGCCCTCCCACATGTCTCCCAGCAGAGTTCTTTGCTCATCCCTGTGAGGAGCTTACATTTTAGGATTACGTACATTTACTGTAACCTCCTTTTCAATCTCAACTCTTCCACAGCAGTGCTTCCAAACTGTGAAGTGCACAGATATCATCGGGAGATTCTGACAGTCAGCCTGGGGTGGGGCCTGAGAACCTGCATTTCTAACAGGCTCACAGGTGATGCCAGTGCTGCTGGTCCTCATGACTTGTTCTGACGAGCAGGCATCTACCTGATTTCTCAGAGGTGCACTTGATGGAATGCAAAGCTCTGGAGCCAGGCACGCCTGGCTTTAAATCTGAGCTGCTCCACCTCCAAGATTTGGGATCTTGGCAAATGACTTCACCTCTCAGTGCCTGTCTTCCTCATCAGAACAGTAGAAGTAATGATGGACCCCTGCAGAGGCTAACTAATGTGAGATAACATGCATACATGCTTCCTTCCCACCCTCCCTCTCACTGGATTTCCCCAGTGATCCTGAGGTAAATAAGCAGAATTAAGCGGAGACCTAGAGGAAGTAGGTGATTGACTTGAGGTCACCTTCCAAGTTTGCTGCAGACCCAGGCAAGAATCCAGTCCTTCCGTCTCTCCATCTTTCTCCTCTACAGAAATGGCATCCATGCCATTGGCACATTAGAGGGGATCTGTGTGCTGGGCAGCCTCGGGGTTCTGCCCCCAGAGATTCTGATTTTCACTGAGTGGGGCAAGCTTCTAGAATCTGTACTTTCATAAACATCCTCAGGCCCTTCTTAGATGTGGGAACCAGTGTACTTGACCATATTACCACTTCAGGTCCCCAGACTATTGTCCCTGCCCCAACCTCCTGGGACACCTGGGGCCAAGCCTGCAGCTGGAGGATTCTGAATGAACAGTGGCTGAGGTCCTCTGTCAATTCATGCTCCTTTGGTTAACCATACATCCCTCAGTTTTCGTACCAATATCGATTATTCTTCCCTATATATATATTTACACATACACACACACTTTAAGAGAAAAATGTTAAAGGTGTAATGTTCAGCAAATTGCAGAGAAAGAACAAATCAATAGATCCTGTGTATGCCTTCCCAGCAGCTTTCCAGGGCCACCAGATTCCACACCAACAAATGCAAAGCTGGCGCCCGTGGTCTGCAAATGCACAGCAAGTCCAAAAGCCCCAAATCATCAGGCAGTAGGTACATAACCTTCCCAGAGTTCCTACAGCTGGCAGTTGCCACCCCACAATCTTTTTTTTGGGGGGGAGGTTCTTTTTGGTATTGTGGTTTTGGTGTTTACTTCTTCATGTTTATGAGGGAGGCTTGCTGTCCACCCCCCGACAGCTCGGAAATCACACAATGCTAACAGTGTCAACCCCATGATTCTTACAAAAGTGGCTGGTCAGGAGCGGAAGCAAAATAAAAACGAGGGAGACCACCTGCTTTGAGAGACTGCAGTGGAGTAACGTCTGGAAGCCCACAGGAGGTGGGGAACTTGGAATTTCTCAGAACCAAGGTGTGAAGCTAGCTAGTCCCACAGGCACAGTCAGCATGTAAGGGCTTTTGGTGTTTAATGTATTACACTCTCGTCAGAGAGCCATTTCTAAACAGCTCGGAAAAAGCCAAGTAGCTCCGTGTGGCCCAGAAATGTGTGTGGGAAGCCCAACACACAGCAGTGCTCATCAGCGGTGTAGGTGGATCTCATCTCTGCAGGGTTCCAGCCACTCAAGGCCAGTTCTGCCACTGGAAGGGATGCACTTAGCCCAGTGCCCCGCAGGCCACTTGGACCTGCTGCCTCTCCTCTTCTAGGAGAAAAGCTGGGGGGCATGTCAGGCTTTGGCGTGTGTACTGTGTGATTGTGGGGCGGGTGTGTGGATGCAAAAAGCCCTCAGCTGTTCCTGACCTCTAAGGGAAAGTTGTTCTTAGAGGTTTGAGAGCTCATTTCTATTTTAAAGACTAAGAGACTCATTTGTTTATCTACGATGATGCTACCACCCAGGCTACAGTGCCCATCCCCTGCTTTTGGGCAGGAATAATAGCAACTCAGATTGGTAATGCTGTCTCCTGTGGACCAGGACCTGGGACTGGCAGGTGTGCACAGACAGAGGCATTTGGGTTAATGACAAAGGAGACAGTCTGTTATTGCCTAAGAAATGCCAGGTCCTAGGTAGACAAAATTTTCAAATCACTGGGTTCCCAGGGTGAAATAAGAAGAAGGAAGGTTCCGGTCCAAGGCACAAGTCCTTTCTGTGATCTTGCAATGCCAATTTACCTTTTTCCTGGCAGCTAGTGTATTTTTCTCCCTCAGAGGGTCAGAAATGGGTCAAAGAAATCACATTTCTAAGGATGTGCCACTCCCCGTAGCTGCTCTTTCCAATCAGGCAAGAGAAGAACCCTCCAAACTGACCCTTTCTCCTCTCCTCCCAGCCCCAGCTCCCTACCCAGCCAGCTGCTCCTGGGCAGCCTTGGGAACCCAGAGTAACTGGGCACAGCTCTGTCCAGAGCCCCCAGGTGGGCACACGAAGGTGTGTGATCAGGGCAAGCAGCAATGTGACAAAGCCGGAAGTGATTCCCATCAAAGGAAGGCGAGACAGGATGAGGGACGGTCTCAGCAGAGACGGGAAATACTGAGGAGGCCGGCAGAAGCGGGCATCACCCGTGCCTTCTCTCGCTTGCGGTTGGGGTGGGGCCCTGGTGCCGTCCACAAAGGTCAGTGACCGTGTCGTTTCCCTGACAGAATAGGCCCTTTGCACACACCACTCATTTTGCTCTCTTTGAGAGAGGTCTTTGGTGTTTGCATGCTAAGGGTTAAAAAGGGCTGTTGGAAGCCAGGGCCAGTGCTGGTGGGGAGGAGAACGGAAGGCAGAGAGGTAGGGAGAAGCAAAGTGGGGGCACCGCAGGGCCACTACCTGCCTTGTTTTCTCCTTTGGTCTTTCCTGAAGGACTGTGTCTGGACACAGGTGCGGTGACCTCCACTGTATGTGGGACTGTGGGTGTGTGGAGGGTAAGGCAGACCCTAACTAGTAAGTTCTGTGAGGCAGATCAGGGCCAGGGGTCGTCCAGGCACCACACTTGACAAGGACACCTGGTCCCACAGGTGCCATGGCTTCAGCTCTTCAAGGAACCTGCACATCTTTTGCCTCCTATAACTTGACCGTCGTCACTGCGTCACAAAAGGTGAGGGCTCTTGGCTTTCATGCAGGGAGCTGGAGGCCCAGAGAGGTGAGTCTGAGAGGGACCCAAGGTCAGGACCCT